TGCTGCCATCCTAAAAGATTTGGCATGTGTGTTGAACTCATCTAACATGTCCTTCAATCTACTAACTGTTTCTGGAATAATATTGGGGTTGTTCCTGCATATAAAAGGAAATACTATGATGCAGCAATGAAAAATATTTAATATGTTGTAAAGAAAACAAAGTTTGGTAAAATTACCCAATTCCTTTAATTCTATGTTGAATCTCATTGTCGGTGTCGTAAACATACAGTTGAGCAAATTTTGGAGATTGTCCAGTTAAAGGTAACATGCTCCCAATTCGATGGCAAGTCTGTCCATGAATTCTTATGTTAGGTGGTCCACTTCCAGCTAAAAATCTGTTGTCGAATTTCATTCCCGGAGACGTAAAAGCAAACATCATGTTGTACATTCTACAAAATTGTTGATAATTTCGACTGCCTATCTCACTATTATCAAACAAAAGACGTTGTAGTAATAGTGGTGGTGTTTTCAGAAGTGGAAACACAACTTCCCCCTTTCCACAACATAGTTGAAACTTAGGAACTGCACTATGTTTTTGCTTGTCAGTTTTTTCTTGATACCACATAAGTGCCCCACATTGTGTGCATTCAACTATAGGATCACCAATATCAGAATAACCTATTTAAATTAAACGTAATTGAGCAATTGGTTTATATTAAATAATAAAATTATAACTAAAATCGTTCATATTAAATAATAAAATTATAACTAAAATCCACATTAAATCATAGCAGGTATCAAAGTGCAACATGTAATGGACAACGTCAAATTGATATGTATAATGAATTTAAAGAAGAAATAAAGTTGGTTTTAATGATAAATACCAATATTTAAAGAATCAAATGATGTAGAATTGGAGTCATAGACATCTTCGTCATCATAGCTGGAACTTGAGTCATAATTTGCATCTGCGGCATTGAATTCACATGAGCTATCACTGAGAGAATCATTTGTTACCGTCTCATCACCAGAGTAATCACTCTCAATGTTAACATCTGGAGTTGAAGTGAATGTTGTGGGTTCTTGTATAGGAATATTGCTTGTGGATGAAAAAGCCAGATTATGATTCTCATTTCCAAAATAATTGAAGAGTTTGACCGTCATGGATTGAATAACATCTACATTCAACTGTTTTTTTTAATTTATGAACATAACTACTTGGATGTTCATGAGGTTCCATATTTCTTTGATTAGAAAATGAGGAAGTTATATCAGAAAGAGGTGTAACAGTCAACTGTTTTTTTTATTTTTGAATAGAACAACTTGGCGGTGCATGAGGTTTTATGTTTCTTTGGTTAGAACATGAGGAAGCTATATCAGAAAATGGTGTTTTGAAATGCGAAAAGGATGGAGAATTTATCCTGAAAGGACCCCCACTGTTATTGCTAAGGTTGTTATGAAGTTTGTAAGATTGGGGCATCTTACCTTCCATAATACTTTTCCTCCGCTGTCGTGCTGAAGCAGCCAGTTGATTTGTAGAAACAATATTGAAACTCTTCATTGTACTTGAGTTGCTTGATGCAGATGCTGGCGAAGGTGAACTCATATTTCTTTCATTAAAGATTGATGAAGTTAAATCAGATAGTGGTGTTCTGATATTAACCATGGTTGGAACATAATACCTTTGAGAGTTTTCAATGGGATTGATTGTGTTTTCATCAGTTCTTCTTTTTTTCAATCTTTTATCTTTAAGAATCTGCTTCCTTTTATGTCTTGACATTGCTGCAACTTGTGGTCCCATAGTGTTGGTTAGGTGATGCAAAAATGAATGGGTAGAAAATCACTTTGATTGTATGGTTGTCATTCAATTTTTTTTTTGTTAACCACATAAAATGATTGTAGACATAAAATGAATAAAGTTTTTGGTTATATGATAATAAATATAATTGTTAATACAACATTCACGGTTCCAAGATTTTGAAGTAAAATACTGAAGTCAACAGAATACCAAGTGATTATTTTTGTGAACCATTTTAATTATTAATAATAATAATTAATAATAATAATAGCGTTAAATAGTGTTAAGTGTTATTTCAAAATTTAATTAAAAATGTTATAATTATGGACAATCAAGTACCAATAAGAAAAGGTAACTTTCAGATTTTAACCATTCTGCCAATTAATCTTGAATTGAAAAGAAAAGCAATGGTCAGAAAAAATCATTATAGTTTCACTTTGGAAACCGAAAATGAAATATAGGCAGAATAATTATGTAAAAAATATCGTGTAAAAAATAATTGTATGTAAAGAATAGTTTCACGTAATTGGCAGAATAATTGTAAAAAATAATTGTAAAAATAAATATTTACCATATCATCTTAAATTTATTTATTCAACAGTGATAAATATGTGTCTCTTAGTTAATTACATTTATAAATAAATATCGTGTATTAGTGATATATATTAAATTTATTATCTTAATGTCTAACTAATTAAAATGAATTTATTATTGTCAATCAAAAATTATAATATTAAATAATAATATAATATTATTATTATATACGGGAAAAAGAATAAATTAAATCTAAGAATATCGGAAAATTTATTATAATATTAAATAATAATTTAACATTTATTATTACAATGAATCATATATAACATTTCAAAATTATGTATTTATTTCTTATGTTTTATTATATTCGATTTGTAATAAATATTTTTCAGTTTATTGCGAATTTTCAATAATTAAATATTAATGATATTATATAAAATTAATTTCATGAAATAAATTTATTTAATAAAGTGTTATATAAATATTTAATATATTATATTATATCATTAATTTATATAAAATGACATTAACTTATTCTTGTTTATAAAATTATTGTAACTTTTTTCCGGTTTATAAGCATGTTGAATTCGTGTGTCCATTATTAAAATATATGTAATTTACTATTATTGATATAAATAATTTTATAAATAGTTTATTACATTTATAAAATTATTTATAATTTATTCACCTTTATAAAATTAATTATAAATTATTTAATTTATTAAAATGATTGTATCAATAATTTTTTATTTTATCATAAATTTTTATGATTATCATTTATCATTAAATTTTCATGATTACCATTTAATATTTTTTTATCATGATTCAAGAATATAAATGTAACCTTTCAAAAAATATACACAAATATATTTAGAAGTCGATAGAAAATTTTATTGGTTAAATTATAATTCCATTCAAAATTTATTGATCATAAATTTTTGAAATCAAATCATGCATAAAAATAAAATGTATTAATGTGACCATTCAAAATATTTTCTATATATAATAAAAATAAATAATATTAATACCTCCATTCAAAAGATATATTTGTAAAGTTTTGATTTAATTTTTTTCATATCTTTATATATTCTAATGTATATAATATTCCTACAATATGAAACAGTATCAAACCTATAATATTAAAAGAGAATTCAAATTTTATTGATCATAATATTTTATGGAATCAAATCATATATAAAAATTAAATATATTTATGTCACCATTCAAAATAATTTCAAAATAATTTCCATATAAGTATAATAAAAATAAATGATCGACAAATGAGAATTATAATTTCGATTCAAAATAAATTAGAATTTTGAAGACACATCAATACCAACTGGTAGGTTATTATCTTCTCTTTAGGAGAAGAGAAATTATATTTAAAAAAGATTGTAAATATGTTAATCGAACGAAACTTAGAGTAATGTGTTTGCTAGAGGTAATGCTACATTCAAAACAACTTAGAATTTGGTGTAAAATAAATTCCATTAAAATATAGGCCAACATAATTTGCAGTAGAAAAATATATTATGCCAAAACCAATGTTGATATGACATACAAAATATGAAAGCAATAATAATATACATATACATAATTTGAATTAAATATTGTTAAAAACATTCTTCTATAGAACCAGAAAATGATCGCATATCAACGTTGGTTTTATCAAAATATACATCTTATACATCTTAGATAATTATTGCCTTACTTATGGATACAGAGAATCAAAATATGGGAATGAAGAAGAATTAAAAAATAATACGTAACCTTTTGAAAGAAGAATTGAAAAATAATACGTAACCTTTTGAAAATAATGGAGGAAGAAGATTGAGGAGTGATGATATCTTGAAATATCAAAATAATCCATTCTAATTTCAATAATATACATTTAATCTTGTAGTGTAATGATAAATAGTGGGTATTTTTAAATCATGCAATGAATAATATTCCATTTAATTATAATAGATCTAATTTGGCCATTCCAATTACTTTCTCATTAACCGTGAGTCAAACATTAGAATTCAAATTCTGTCCAAAAAAACATTGGAATTCAAATATAAATAAATTAACCGTGAATGAAACATTTGAATTGGAATTCAAATATAAATAAAATTCAAATATAAATAAAATAAATTAATAAATCAAATAAATAAAAAATAGTGTAAAATTATCATAGATTGACATGTCAGCAAAATTAAATACCAAATGAATATGGTAACAGCATAGTGTTGATTAGTCTATTATACCCTTGGAATAAGAAAAGTTAAAACATCTAATCAAAAAGTTAGACTTAGAATTTCCAGGTACTTTACTTTTAATAGATTGATAATAGATAATAGATAATAGATAGATAATAGATTTGATAGACGTGTAATGTGAACCCAGAAAGAACCCGTACCGTAGCACTTGTTTGGTAAATAATCAACCTGACAAATTATAATTGGAAATGGAAGTAAGTGATTAAAAATATCCATTCCTCTCAATGTCAAACAAGACCGTTAAGTTCAAAACTTTATAATTTGAAAAAAACCGGGCCCAACTTCTGAACCGGTTCAATCGGTCCAAGAGTAAAGTTCGAACAAAACCGTGAGAGACACAGAGAGTGAGGAGCGCATTTTTGTTTTGAATTTCAAATTTCATTTCACAACGTTCTTCTTCTTCTTCTTCCCAACACAAACCCTAACTTCGTTCCCATTTCCCAAATCAAACACGATTCCTAACATTCATGGCTTCCCGGAACCAGAACCGGCCACCGCGAAGTCCCTCCACGGTAATCCCCTTCTCTATCACTCTCTCATGGTTTTCTATTTTCTAGATTTTGCTTAACTTGCTTTCAATTTGTAGCTTTAGTGAGCTTTTTGTTGAATTTGTTTGATTTTTAGATGCATAAGAAAGGGGTAGGTGCTGAGGAAATTCCGTCAGACAAGCGGAGAAGGATTGGTGGTGAAAAATTGGTGGGACTGGGTAGAGGTAGGGCTCCATTTGGTGCACTCAACAACAAAACGGAAGTCAATGAAGTTAGCAGCGGCGGTGGTGGTGGTTCTGATGGATCTGAAGGTAGCGTAGTTGATTTCACTGAAGAGGAAGTAGATGCGTTGTTGGAAGAGAGGATGAAAAAGGGGATTCCTCGAGATACTAAAGTGTGTCTATTGTTTGTGCTGTGTTAGTTTGGTGATTTTTAATTTGATTAATTACTGGGTTTTGCTGTTATTTAAGCTGGTTTTGGGGTTTGTTTTTTTTGCTTTTTGTTTTGTAGAAAAAAATGGAGAATATGGTGGATCTTATCAAGAGACTTAAGCAATGTGTAAGGTGGTTTAAGGGAAAGAAAGAAAAGCTTCAGGCAGATCTTGAATCGGCTGAAAAGAAATGCATTGAGACCGGTGAGTCTTCTCTTTAAGCTTAAATTTTTGTTTACTCTCTGGCACTGATGAAAACACTTTGCTAAGCATGTTTGTGTTTTCTCAGAGAATGAGATGAAAGCTAAGATAGACGAATTGGATGAGGCTATCTCAAATTTGAGGACGACGATTTCCTCTTTAGAAGAGAAGATTGCAAAGGATGAATTAGATAGACAGGTATGGTTGTGGTTGGATATTCCATGTGATGTTTGCTTTTTGCCTCATTAACTTATTATTTTTTTTTGTGTTTTTGGCTTCTAGGAAGTGATTGAATGTTTTAGAAAAGAAAAAGAGGCCAGAAATGCAGCTGAGCAGATGAACATTTCTCTTTCAACTGAACTTGAGAAAGTTTGTGATGAGAAATCAGCTATTGAGCGGAAGGTAGTTATTTAAGTCCACGAGTCCCGCTGATATTGGTTTTACCGGCAGGTTGCCTCAATAATTTCCTCACTCCTTTTGTTATTGTTGATTTTTGCAGGCCACTGCAACTGAGGACCTGTACAAACGATCGCAAGAGTACAATATCAGTTTGCAGCAGTACAATAGTCGCCTTCAGTCAAATCTGGAAACAGTTAACGAGGCACATAAACGACTGGAAACAGAGAAATCAAGTATTGTTGAGAACCTTAGCAATGCAAGAGGCCACAATAAGGCATTGCAAGAGCAGCTGGCATCTCTGAAAGTAAGTTATTTAGTGTTGATTAACGCCATCAGGCATATCATTTATGGTGTCTATAGATAGTTGTAGTTCATAATTTGCCCGCTGATACGGTTAAGTGTTTTAAATTACGTGAAGTTCCTGTTGTAATCAAGTTGCTTTTTTTTCTTTGAATGATTCCTTGGAAATGAAATCGGAAATGAGTAGACTGGATAATATATGGACTTGAGTGAAGAACAGTGGAATCAAAATAAACTTGAGAACCTTGTGCATTTTGCTGATTTCGAATTGTCGCTTGACATATCTTAGCAATATTTCTCTTGTTCCCTTGCTTTTCTGTTATCCCAGACTTCACAAGACGAGGCTACAAAGGGGAAAGACATGTTAGCCAGTGAACTCAAATTCCTCCGAGATGAATTAAAACAAGTTAGAGACGACCGTGATCACCAAGTTGGACAAGTACAAGCTTTAACCGGAGAAGTAGCCAAATACAAGGAATATACAGGGAAATCAAGTGAACAACTGGATACATTGACGGTTAAAACAAGTGCTCTCGAGGTTGGTTTATTGTTTCTTGACCACATTAGTGATTAAGTATTATGAACTCATGTATTCATTAAATTTATGACTTTACTTGTAGGAGATATGTACTTCACAAAGACAACAAATAGATATGTTGCAGCAGCAGTTGACGGCTGAAAGAGAGAAGTTGAAGGTACAAAGTTATACCGATGTTTGCATGTGTGTGCTTTGTTTTTCCCTATATTAATTTAATTCAAAAATTTACTTCACATTATTAAAATTAGGGCGGAGTTCAATCATTTTCCTGTTCAAATAATAATAAATGGTTCTGGAGTGGAGAGTATTTTTTACCCCCAGATTAACTGTTGAACCATATTACAAACTGTACGAGGTCTTTGCCTCTGAACATTTGTGTCTATCTCGAATAATATGAATATATGCAGATATTCATTCAACAAAAAGATAAATCCAAATATTTTCAACCAGGGAAATTTTTCGATTTGAATGATATTAGTTGAATTTTGCTTAGCATAAATATGATTAGTACAACTGACAATAACTTTATTGTCTTGTTAGATGGCTGATTTATCTTTTTCAGAAACAAGAGCAGTGTTTGAAAAACAGGAAACAGTTATAAGTCAACTACGAGATAGATTGGCTGAAAAAGAATTACAAGTAATTGAAGGAGAGTCATTACGAAAGAAATTGCACAACACTATTCTGGTAAATTGTCTTTGTTGAAAATTTATCATTACATCTCATCAGTTTTCAATTATTTGGTATAATATTAATAGTTCGATACCATATAATCATTTATGCTCATAGGAATTAAAAGGAAATATCCGTGTGTTCTGCCGTGTCCGACCTTTGTTACCGGATGATGGTCCTGCAGCAGACATGGTAGTTTCTTTCCCTTCATCAACAGAAGCTCTTGGCCGGGGCATTGAATTGGCACAGAGCGGTATGTCCACAAGCTTCTTTCCATTATCCTCTGTTTTCACTGTCTTATAAGTTTCACGTAGTTTATGTGCCTATTCGATTATATAAATTTCATCATGTTTAAAAATGCAGGGCAGAAGTATTCTTTTTCATTTGACAGAGTATTTAATCAAGAGGCTTCTCAGGAGGATGTTTTCACAGAGATTTCACAGCTTGTACAAAGCGCGCTTGATGGGTACAAGGTGATTTCTACTGTCTATTCTCTTGATTTCTTTTACCATATAAATACAAATCCTTTTATACATATAACATAGGCAAAACAAAGAATGGAGATATGAAACTACGTAATGTTACAATTTGCAAGATGCAAGAACGCTTACTCTTGGATTTGGAGACTTTACACACATTTTTCTTGATGCAGTTTGACTTGTTGTAGCATTTCAGCTATTTACAGTTTTTTTCAGGGATTTTGATGTTTGAATGTTTTGGTTGCTGTTGTCATTTCTGTTACTTGCTTGTAAATTCTTGTAACTCTGGCCTTGTTTCTTAAAAAAAAGAAGTAAAAACCACCTAAAATTGAAGTTGAGCTCGTATTTGTTATCTACAATGTATTTCCATTACATACAAAATCTGGCACAGTACTTTGGTCACATGGACTTTTGATTGGCTATGCCCGAGTAGTATAGTACCTTGTGCTTGATGCTTGATACCTCGGTATTTCTGTTGCTAATGTATTAAGTCCTCCTAAGAATTGGGCTTCTATGTTTGTGTGCTGTTTTTCTTTTCCTTTTCGTTTTACTCTATAAATATGCCTTGGCTTACTGACAAAGGTTTCACGGGATATTGGGACAGGTTTGTATTTTTGCTTACGGACAAACAGGTTCTGGAAAAACCTATACGATGGTTGGCAGGCCTGGTCTCCCTGAGCTGAAAGGCTTGATACCGCGTTCACTTGAACAGATATTCCTGGTTAGTCAATCTTTGAAAGATCAAGGTTGGAAGTACACTATGCAGGTAAATATACTATTTTACTCGTTATTTTTATTTGCACATAAACTAACATCAGTAGGAACCTTAAAAATTGTGTAAAATATCTATTATAGGCCTCGGTACTTGAAATATACAACGAGACGATAAGGGATTTGTTAGCACCAACAGAAAATCCTGGAAAAAAGTACAATATTATACATGATGCCAATGGAAAAAACACATATGTTCCTGACCTGACTATTGTGGACGTGTGCGGCGCAGATGAGATTTCCACTCTCCTACAACGGGCTGCACAAAGCAGGTGAAGTAATAACTGAAATCTGCAAATATTATATTATTAGGGATTTTGTCAAGTTATGCTGGCACGAGCTTTCCAGTTAAATATGTGCCCCAGTGCAATAACACATTTTTCCTTTGTGAGTTTTTGTTGACCAATTATTCATTTTCAACTAATAACAATTCATTGAAGCTGTCAAGTTTGCTGATACTGTAAAAAATTTTCAAATAAGTTTGTGCTTTTGACACAATTTGAATATTTAATTTTAGTTAATGTACAAGATACAATGTGAATGTGTTCTTTCTGGCCTTTGATTTCTAAACGACAGTGCATGTTACATTTTTTCAGATCAGTAGGAAGAACACAGATGAATGAACAATCGTCACGAAGTCACTTTGTATTTACTCTGCGCATAAGCGGCATTAATGAGGTTCGCTCTTTGATTCAAAGATATATTTGCTGCTCTTTTGTCTACTGTCTCCTGATTTACCTTTATCTGATTTGTAGAACACCGAGCAACAAGTTCAAGGTGTGCTAAACCTGATCGATCTTGCTGGAAGTGAAAGACTTTCGAAAAGTGGAGCAACTGGGGACCGTTTGAATGAAACTAAGGTGTCTTTGATTTTCATTGATATGACTTGAGCTTGATGTCAATAACTGTAGTTTCATTAATCAATTAGTAACAAATGTTTGCAATATCTCTCTGTCAGGCGATAAACAAAAGTCTTTCCTGTTTGAGTGATGTCATTTTTGCCTTGGCGAAAAAAGACGATCATGTCCCCTTCAGGAATTCTAAGCTAACAACCCTTCTCCAGGTATGCAAAACTTGAATATTTGCATTCCTAGTTTTTGTCTCCTTTTGCTTTATTTTCAATAATTATAACCTTTTTTAATTTGTACATCTGTAACTTTAATATTTTGCAATCTCTATTTTTTTGTAACCTTAATCCTCTACTCATTCAAATCAAATATCACGTCTTAAGTACTGAACAAAGCTTTTTTTTTTTACCAAATGAAATCAAACATTTTAGAATTGACTAGGTTGGTCTTATTTAAATTGAAAGAGTGAAGAAACTACACTAATGAGAGAAAGGGGCACGGTTGTTCGATTTGTGTGGCTATTGTTAAACTTAACAACATGCTGCAAAACTGTGTCGTACATTAGATTTCAAATACAGAACTTGGCAAGAATAATAGATTGCATATTTAGGGAAGGCCTGAGATTGTGTCTGAGCATGATCATTTTTTTGCGACAATAAGTATGATCATATTCTGCTTAACTTTCTGTTTTTTCCCTTTGGAATTTGCATAGTTATAACTGTAATTGGCTCTTGGTCATGAGTATTTTTACTTTGGTTATGATTGTATCATTCAACTTTCTGTTTTTTCCTTTGGCAGCCATGTCTTGGTGGAGATTCGAAGACTCTGATGTTTGTAAATATTTCGCCTGACCCAACTTCAACAGGAGAGTCACTTTGTTCTCTTCGTTTTGCCTCAAGAGTAAATAGTTGCGAGATTGGTATTCCTCGGCGCCAGACATCCATGAAGTCCTCCTCCGATTCTCGTTTGAGCTATGGCTAAGATTAAAGGTCTGCTAGGCAATGACATCACTCAGACCAATAACTAAAATAACTATTGTTTGTAATGCTTTTGCAGGGATATAAGAGAAGTGTTGTTTTAGTCTTGGGTTAACGTAATTGTGTTAGCATTTAGAGAATTGAGCTTGTAGAGAATTGAGCTATAGCCTATATAGCCTCAATGGTGATATTGATTGCCTTGTATTGTATCATTTAACTGTGATATTACAAAATTTATTTTATTTGAGCAGCTTGCTGATTGTAATATTTATGTAGTAATGGAAAAATACATCATTTGACTGGTTTTGGGTCTTATAGAATGTTGATTTAATTACCAATAATGTATTCACTGAGATGTATTGTGATAGTTTTTAATTTTATTTTTTATGACTTATATTAAAGCAGCACAGAAACTGTGACAATAATAATAATTTGAGGATGTGAATTGTAAGTATCAATAATTAAGTTTGTTTTAAATTTTTTTAATATAGTAATCTAACTTGACTTTAAACTTTTATAATGAGAATTCAATTTTTTAAAATATAAATTAGCTATGTTATCCTTAAACTTAAATAATGAGAATTCAATTTTTTTAAATATAAATTAGATATGTTAGGTGCATAATTGCATAGACTAATCTTTTGAATAAATGAAGAGCATAATTTCAATCCTGATAAATAATAATTTAATGAGTACTAAAGAAAAAAAAGGATCACTATGCAACCCTTTATTGGAGAATCTTCCGATGGAAGATAGAACTAGAACCACGTTGTTTGAATAAGATGAACGGTGGATAATCAATAATGAATGGTTTGATTGAATATTTAAAGATATGCATATCTTTTTCTTTTATCTCTTTGATTGCTTTTGCAACTTGTGCAAAGTGCAAACAATACAGCTAATTGTTTTTTACTATATACATTTTATTGTTTATTTCAATATTTATTTTAATATATTTCAATTTATAATAATATTTTATTTATCCAAATTCCAGCTTCAATAATTATGTTAACTGAATTAGCCACTAGTTTTATTTATTTAAACTATTGGCACAGTTTTTAATTTGAATGAAATAAAATTATTAACAGGATGAGATAGAACCTTGTTTAGGAGTTTGTCCTTATCCGTTGAGGAAAATAATGTAACATTGTCTGCTGTCATTTTATTTAGTATCAGTGTTCATTTTAAGACTGTCTTCATCTTCAGCTGCAGATAGTAAACAGTGAAAAAAACACTTTTTCTTTTGTTGTTGTTCTTCTTTTATATATAGATCAATTCATCTTTAAGTTGAAGGAAGGTGATAATGGAAACTATTGAGCAAAACAAGCCTAAGGTGGTGGTGATTGATTCCTTGCAATCATGGGAATCCTATGTCAACCAAGCTTCTAACCAGAATTCCCATGTAAGTTAAAGTTTAGATTTTTTTGATGCTTGATCATTGAAAATGAGTATTTGATTAAGGGGTTTTCTTGTTTTGATTCAATTTGGTTTGTTATTGTTCTTTTAGGATTTAGAATTGTGGTTAGATTGATTGATGCATACTTACAGCTTTTGTGTTTTGTGGAATGGATCTTAGATTGTTGTTCACTTTACTGCTTCATGGTGCATGCCATCAGTGGCTATGATTTCGTTTTTTGAAGAACTTGCATTAGATTATCCGGATCTTCTCTTTCTCTCTGTTGATGTTGATGAAGTTAAGGTAATTTTACTTTCTTAAATGCTTCTATATTAGAGTAAGAACTAAAGATAGAAGTATCAATACTGTAATAGCTTTGTATATGACTGACAGATGTCAAATCTAGAGTAGCGGCTAACCTGCTATAGCAGGTCACACCAGTTGCCACTATAAATGCAATTGTGCATCTCCTCTTCCTCTTGTAACTAACTTTCACATAATAACAGAAATGAAAAGTTCTCCTTTGATTTCTATCATGGTATCAGCTTAGCTAGATTCGATCCATGGCGTCACCAACTTCACCGGGATCGCCGTCTTCCGCTAACGTCACGGTGCAAAACTTGCCGTTCACGGTGGCGACTGATGAAACTCGTTGTCTCCAGTTCTCGCTCAAGATCACGCATAAACTCGATGAGAAAAACTTCCACATCTGGCGTCAACAGGCGGAGCCCTACATCAACGCGCACAATCTCACGGATCTCGTCGTGTGCACTCAAATTCCTCTCAAATTCGTTGACGATGATGCTCATCGTCAAGGTACGATTAATCCTACCTACTCCATTTGGCTTCAGAAAGATCGATTCTTCTATCATGGCTTCAATCGACTCTTTCGAGTGAAATTCTGTCGCGTGTTCTTGGATGCTCTCATTCGCATCAACTCTGGGATCGCTTATTCAGTTATTTCCAAAATCAAACTCGTGCGTGTGCACACCAATTGCGTGTCCTAACTCTGGAGTCTCAATCTGTCTCTGATTATCCGTTGAAAATCCGCACGACTGTGGATACTCTGGCTTCAATTGGAGGTCCTATTCCCAGCTCTCAACACATTGATGTGATTCTTGAGGGGCTTCCTAGTGAATATGCTCCTGTCGTTTCTGTTGTAGAGAGCAAGTTTAGTGATATGGATTTGGATGAGGTTGAAATTCTCCTAATTGCACATGAACTGAAGTTGTGCCAGATCTTGGATCTCTCAACCTCACACACGTTTCACCTCAGGCTGCTTCCCCTGAAACTCCTCAGTCTGGCAGTACTGATTCTACTCACTCACAGGTAGCTCCCTCCCGTGCAGAGCCTGAATATTCCAGTTTCAGAGGTGGAAGATCAAACAGGGGTGGTCGTGGCAAAGGTTTAGGTGGAAGGAACTCCACAGTTCAATGTCAAGTCTGCTCCAAGGTTGGACACTCAGCTTTAAATTGCTGGCATCGGTTCAATCAACACTTTCAGCCTCCCTCTTACAGTGGCAATCCCTATAATGCAGCTCCTTGGCAATTTCCTAAGGTGCCTTATGGCCATTTTCCTGCCAATGTGTGGACAAGACCTCCAGCTGCTCAAGCAAGGCCAGCTCTTGCCTATTCTTCTCCCAGCACATTCATTGCAAATGCCACTCCCTCTACATCAGCTATGTCCTGGTACCCTGATTCAGGGGCCTCATATCATATCACCAATGATGCAAATAATCTGCAGCAATCCACACCTCTTGAGGGTCATGAACAGATTTACATAGGAAATGGCCAAGGTCTTCTTATTAACTCTGTTGGTTCTAGTCAATTTTTGTCTCAAAATCACCCTCACACACCTCTCACACTAAATAATCTATTACATGTGTCTTCCATTACCAAGAATCTTATAAGTGTGAGTCAGTTTTGTCGTGACAATCATGTATACTTCCTTTTCACAGCTGATTCGTGTTTTGTCAAATGTCAGGTGTCTAATGCTGTTTTGCTGACTGGTCACGTGGGTTCAGATGGGCTGTATGAGTTTCCCTTGCTCAATGTTTCTAAATCTACTAAGTCTATTAAGTCTTTAGATTCTTCAAATAAACTTGTACCTTCTGTTAATTCTGTTGCTATTTCTCCTGCTTTATCCAATGTGTGGCATTTAAGACTAGGCCATCCTAATGTCAACACCTTGAGATTGGTGCTACAATGTTGTAATCTCAAATTCAGCAATAAAAATCATGAATATTTCTGTTCTGTTTGTTGTATGGGTAAAGCACATAGACTGCATCACCTGTCTCACACACCACTTATTTTCATCCTTTAGAACTTGTGTACTGTGATCTGTGGGGGCCTTCTCCCCAACCATCAACACAAGGTTTTACATACTACATCTCCTTTGTTGATGTCTTTTCCAAGTTCACATGGTTGTACTTACTTAAATCTAAAGCTGAACCACTTAGTGTCTTCAAGCAGTTTAAGTCTCTTGTAGAACTGCAACTTGGATTCCCCATCAAAGCTGTTCAGTCAGATTGGGGTGGGGAATTTTGTCCCTTCAGCAAATTTCTGTCTGACTTTGGCATCGTGCACAAGATTATCTGTCCTCATACTCACCACCAAAATGGAGTGGTGGAAAGGAAACATGGCATGTTGTGGATCTAGGCGACTCTTTTAAGTCAAGCTTCCTTACCATTAACATACTGGGATTATACCTTCACCACAACTGTTTTTCTCATAAACAGACCTCCCTCCTCAGCTATTCAATTTCAGCTTCTATTTCACATTGTACATGACTACAAATTCTTGAAGGTGTTTGGTTGTGCCTGTTTTCCACTTCTGAGACCTTATAATGCACACAAGCTGGAATTCAGGTCTCAAGAATGTCTGTTTTTGGGTTATTCCAATTCTCACAAGGGTTATAAATGTCTTTCCCCCAGTGGCAAACTTTATGTATCCAAGGATGTTCTTTTTCATGAATCCAGGTTTCCCTACCTTGAGCTATTTTCTCCACCTACTTCTCATACTCCTACTGTTAATAACCCTGCCAAACAGACTTCCTCATCATCCCTATCCTCTCTCTTTTCCAATGTCTCTCTCCCTAAGCCTATGCCTCTAACAGCTGTTTCCTTTTCTTCTGCTAACTCACCTGCCTCTGCCACCTACCCTAATTCCTCTGCATCTACAAGTCAGTCAAGAGATGCCTCCCCTCCTCTCACTGAACCTGAGAACAATTTATCTCCTACTCCTTAGCTATCACCTCTGCCTTCTCCCTCAAAGCCTCCAATAACCACTCCCACACCATTCTGCCTTCCAGCTAATGCTGTAGCAGTTAGCTCTAAACCTGCCAACCAACACCCCATGATAACAAGAGCCAAAACTGGATTTGTGCAACCAAAATTGTTACTCACTCATACATAATCTAAAACTGTGAAACAAGCTCTTGCAGATGCTAAGTGGAAAGAAGCTAAGCAGTCTGAATTTGATGCCTTGAGTAGCAATAACACCTGGTCTCTTGTGCCTCTTCCACCTAATAGGCAAACTATAGGCTGAAAGTGGGTGTTTCGAATCAAGGAAAACCCTGATGGCTCAATCAGCAGGTACAAGGCACGCCTTGTAGCAAAAGGGTTTCATCAGAAGCAAGGGTGTGATTTTAATGAGACCTTTTCTCCTGTTGTGAAGCCAATTACAATTAGACTCATTCTAACTATTGCTCTCCCTCACAAATGGTCTATTCAGCAGCTTGATGTAAATAATGTCTTTTTGAATGGACTTCTCCATGAAGAGGTCTATATGGATCAACCTCCTGGCTTTGTTAACTCAGATTCTTCTCTTGTGTGCAAACTGCACAAAGCCCTTTATGGCTTGAAACAGGCTCCTATGCAGTGGTTTGAAAGGTTACAAGAGACTCTTCTTAGACTGCATTTCAAACCCAGCAAATATGATCCTTCCTTGTTCACCTTTGCTGCAAATGGTAACACTGTTTATTTGCTAGTGTATGTGGATGATATCATCATCACCAGCAACAACACTACTCTACTTCAGTCCATTATTCATAAACTTAACTCTGACTTTTCTCTCAAACACCTGGGAGATTTGGATTATTTTCTTGGGATTGAAGTAAAACCTGCTGCTCAGGGATCTATGCTACTCACTCAAACTAAGTATATTAGGGATTTTACTGCAAAGAACTCACATGGCTGACTCTGCCCCTGTTGTCACTCCTATGCAGTCCTCCTGCAAGCTAACTAAACTTGGCTCTCCTGCTCTTGCTGATCCATAGATGTGGCGTGTGGTTGGGGCTCTCCAATATGCAACCATCACAAGACCTCACATTGCTTATGCTGTCAGTAAAGTCTGTCAGTTCATGTCTCATCCTCTAGAAACACACTGGGTTGCTGTCAAAAGAATTCTCAGGTATCTTAAAGGTACTATCGAGCATGGTCTTCATCTATCCCCTCATGTTCCATCTGAGGTTTCTTCCCTTCAAGTCTTCTGTGATGCTGACTGGGCTTCAGACCCTGATGATAGGCGTAGTACATCTGGTGCAGCTATCTATTTTGGAGGGAATTTAGTGTCCTGGTGGTCCAAGAAGCAACCTGTGGTTGCTAGGTCCAGCACAAAAGCAAAATACAGAAGTCTAGCTCAGGCCACAACTGATCTTCTCTGGCTTCAAACTTTATTGACTGAACTGTGTGTTCCTACTCAACAGCCTGTGGTGTTGTGTGACAATCAATATGCAGTGGTGCTGGCTCACAATCCCATCATGCACTCCAGGACAAAACATATGGAAATTGATCTTTTCTTTGTGAGAGAAAGAGTTTTTGCCAAGCAGATCCGAGTTGCTCATATCTCTGGTGTGGATCAGATTGCTGATGTGCTTACTAAACCACTTTCATCTACTTGTCATGAATTCTGGCTTGATGCCTTTCTCATTGCATTTGATACTATATATAATAGTGTCGGTAATTACAACTCATAATGACTAATTACAACTCATAATAACTAATTACAACTTATAATGGCAATTTCCTATTCTATGAATGTAAATTATTCACAATAAATGTGTTTGATTATTTCCTGATTAACATCCCCCCTCAAATTGATGCGGCTGGTCAAGGAGCATCAATTTGCTAACAAGAAACTGATGTCGTGGGCGTGAAACAGCCTTGCTAAGAATATCTGCAACCTGCAACTGAGTACTGATGTGAGGAAGTGATATTATTCGATTATCGTAGGCGTCACGTATTGAATGACAATCAACTTCGATATGTTTGGTGCGCTCATGAAAAACAGGATTTGCAACAATTT